TTAGCATTTGGGGAAGATGCAAAAAGAAAAAAAAAGAAAAAAAAAGAATGGTTTTTGTGCATCTCACCGTCGTCGCCAACCATCGCGAAGGTATGAATTTTCAACTCATATACTCATTTCGTCGTTCGCGACGCACCGACAAACCGCTCATACACGTTCTTTTTTTGCGTGGTGGGAAGGGAACCCGGTGCGGTGCCTACGACGAGGCGGGCAATCATCTAAAATTTCTTTTTTGGCATTTGTGTCGAGCTGGAAAATCGCCCATACACGCTTTTCTCTAATGCGGTGGGATGGGAACCCGGTGCGATGCCTACGGCTAGACCGGGATATTCATAAGTACCCGCTCGTGGGGAAATGACTGTGTTTTTCTTGCAACAAGTACTAAAGACCCATACACGCCTTTTTCTATCGTGGTGAGATTAAGAATTTGATGGCTGCGATGTCCTTGTCCGAGGGCACCTACCGTACACGCTTTTCTCTAGCGTGGCGGGAGGCCCTGTTTTATGTAGTTTTTCCTAAACTGGGGAGACACCGGGAGGATGTCGAAATTTCGGATGAACATACAACTAAATTTGGGACTTGATTGAACATCAAATGAACTTGATTGAACTTATGGAACTGATATTTGAGCTTGAACGAACTCAAAGGACAACAAGGGACATGCATTTAAACTTGAACTCGGACTTGAACTTGGGCTTTGACTTTATTCGAATATTTACTTAAACATCAAGTGAACTAAATACAATAATTTGAGTTTTGAAGATTGGACTCAAATGAGCATTGAATAATTGACTTTAAATCTAACTTGGATTAAAGTATAATTTTTTTTTTTAAATCATGAATTATGTAAATGATAAAATCAAAGATTTATGTATAAATTGATCATATGCTTTAACATGCAATTTTTGGACAATGAAAAATTGCAATCATCATCTCAATTGTAATGGAGATGTTGGTGAGTATACAAAAAGAAAAATTGAAAGATGTATGGCTTGGTTGCAAAGCCATCAATATGAGAGCTTTGGAACAATGATGATTGGTTGTAATACTTGTGCCAATTGCATAAGTAAACATACAAAGTCCCTTAGATAATGTGGATTGCCGCCTTATAGATATGTATACAAGGAGGGTGAAGTAAGTGCAATAATATGCTTATGAATAATGTATGGAAGATGCGACGACATATTTGCAAGCAGACACATCAAACGATAAGGCACACAAGTACTCCCTCTACATGCAAAGGAGCTTTTAATGAAAATACTAGTGAATATAATAGATCGTTAATCGGCTTGCATACAGATGATGACGGGGATATGATGCATGTATGATGAATCTCCCATGCTTGTGGATATTCATGCGATGTGAATATTTGCAAGGACAAGGATCTACAACACATGAGAACTCCTACAAGTTGCTATAGGGAAATCAATAATAAGTGTTGCTCATTTTGTTTATTATAAATGTAGAAGTACACACAACATACTACAAGCGACATCAAAGAAGCTATAAGGAATGCAATGTCATATCTCTTATCAACAACAATTCATTTCCAAGAAGATATAATAACGAAAGAATTGCAAATGCTAATCAAAGAGGGTGATCCATCTAAATCTCATGCATACAAACAAATTTCAAATAATTGTTTAAATCATTCGAATAAATAACCTTTGAAGATAAAGGACTTACAAGTGCGATGTGCTTACAAATAATAAGAAGATGTTGAAGGATATATTGTGGTTACAAGACCATGACTTAAAATACCTTGTAGAGTAACAACTGATCTGCATGCAAACAATGATAGAAGATTTGTAATACATACAATCCTTCCATGAATGCATATATGTGCAATATGCTAGTTATGGGTAGATGCAGAAAGATTTCAATAAATGCAGCATCCTGAAGTCAATTTCAGTCTGTGAAGGAATACATCTATCTGTCTACTTGTAACAGTGGCGGATGTACTGAAAAGACCAAAGACCACAACAAAATGCATGAATAATACAACAAGTGCAAGCTTCTATGACGTAAAGCAGGAAATTAGTTAGTGCATTACAATCTACCTGCATAAATCATAAAAGTAGTGCATGACAGTCTACATGTATGAAACGGGCAAATGACTAAAGTATAATGCCACGCCACCGGATCTGCAACACTCTTATGAGCAGACAGAAGGCGTCCACAAGACTACAATGCCACGCCATCGGATCTGCAACACTCATACTAGCAGACAGAAGGAGTCCACAAGACTACAATGCCACGCCACCGGATTAGCAACATTCATACAAGCGGACAGAAGACGTTTCACAAATATTCCAAGAATACCCATGCACATGCATCGTAGATTGTATGCACATAGGTACACAAGGAGTAAACGCAATCACCACCCGCATGGCCCTGGCGAGCGTGTTATTGGTACACATGTGACATCTAGAGATGCTAAGCGGATCAACAAGTTTAAACCCGATCCTTCTAAGCAGGTAAAAAGGAGCCGATATGGTTTAATTATAAAATGCCCCCAAATACCCACATGGGCCCCGGCGAGCGTGTTATTGGTACACACATGACATTTAGGGATGCTGCGCAGGTCGATAAGTGAATTCAAGTTCGAACCCGATCCTTCTATACAGATCAATAGGAGTCGACAGGGTTCGAATCTTCAAACAAATACACGGTTGTCGCGATCGATGTATTTGTTTTAATACATTCGTGTTAGTCCTTCAAGGTTTACAATCAAGAGAATTCACTAATAAAGGCATCAATACCTACGAAACCCGATCCCCTGTCGGCAAGTTGATAGGGTTGCTAAATTTAAATAAATGAAAATAACCAAACACCCCGATGATGGCCATGTTGAACGAAAATCTCAATCGGAGGGGTTCACAAATACTTTCAAATGTCTTCCAAGCTCCACCCAACTACCCACAAAAATTCAAAACTCCATAAACTCCAAAAATCCAAAATTCCAGAATTCTCAAAATCCAAAATATTTAAAATTGAAATAAATCCATTAACACTTAATGCTAAATCCATCCACCCTCCGCAACAGTTTGTCGGGCTGGACAAATTAAAATTTACTTCAGCTCACATAGAGCTAATGTCTAGTCGAAAATATCACTATGATTCATTATCAAATAATCTCATACCAGTAAGGACGTGGTACGTGTCATCTGACCGATGGTTTTGGCGCTAAATGGCACAACAGGATAAATGGTTATGATCCGGGGCCCTCTAAACCGAGTGATTTTGCGGTCAAATGGCACCACGAAATACCGGTTATTGCCAAAGCTAATACGCTCATTAGTGACATCAAATCCTTGAGATATGAATTAATAGGATATGATCGATAGGGCACAAAGCCCTCTATTAGCTAAAGTGGATTCAAATTTATCCCCTTAGGCAAATATTCATCCCAGGTCTACAAGGTACCCTTGGACGAAGCAACCCATGGCTGCCGACAAAGTAGACCAGGGATCACAATTGCCCGGGACGACGAAACCATAGGATCTTTATCGGGCCCATCATCCATTCCCCCACCATCCGCTCTAAGTGCTAGATGGTGAAATTTCTACTTTTAAATATCAAACTTTTCAAATTCTCAACCATTTCCAAATTCCAAACTCATTACTGCTACTATATGTTAGATAACTTGTATACTCTACGTATCTGATTGACGACTAGCCTTAAATCGAAAGTTCTCTCTCGTTATCGGGAGGGGTAATTAACTATAGGGGTTTGCGCCTATAGGAAACCAGAACTCAGATCATAAAGTCCTCGCAAAACTAGGGCGAAATCTCTGGGTAGTGTCTTATCTACAAACCCATCTGTCTTCCAAAATTTACCCCGGAACTTAGTTCGTTAAAACTCCCTCGCCGAAAGAAAAGCAAAACAGTACGGGCCGAATTTTCGGAGCCCACAAATTTCTGGCGACTAGCCTTAATCGAAAGTTCTCTCTCGTTATCGGGAGGGGTAATTAATTATAGGGGCTTGCGCCTATAGGAAACTAGAACTTAGATCATAAAGTCCTCACAAAAAAATTAGGGCAAAATCTTTGGGTAGTGTCTTATCTACAAACCCATCTGCCTTCCAAAATTTACCCCGGAACCTAATTCGTTAAAACTCTCTCGCACAAGAAAAAGCACAAAAGTAGCGGGCGGAGGCCGGGGCCAAATTTTCGGAGCCCACACCATTATATCAAGATTTCTTTAAGTCGCAGGAAGTTGCATTTGCCTTATGTGTTGAACGTGTTAAATGCTAAATTTAGTTCAACCACACTATTAGGGGTTTATAATGTGTCCTCTTATCCTTTGTAGCACGAATGTGATAAATCCAAATGAATAGGATGAGAAATTATTATAATTGAGAGATAACGAGAATAGTATTTTTTGAAGATATTATAGTACTTAATTGTTTTAGTGTTTTGAACATGTATGGTGTAGAAGATGAACTAATAAGTTTAGCAAATATAATCAATGTAACACGATTAAAAAGGAATAGTGATAGCCAAGGTAACATGCATAGTTGTGTAAAAAGCTTACACCAAGTTGAAGTAACGTCTAATTTTTATTGTATCTAGTAAGAGTGAATTGAGGAGACAAAGCCCACCATAATAAGGTAGGATAAGGTTACTGATGATGACGATGCTCCGTTTATATATGTAGGCTATCATGTTTTATGTTGCATCCAACTGAATAGAAATGCACAACTTTTTTATAATTTTCTGATGAGTTGGGATTTAGAGAATTATGTAGTTGAATGCCTTAAAGTTTAAATAGTAAAAAAAGATGATACACTTGATCTATGAAGCCCTTATGAATGTACGGGCTTGGGAGGGGCTTGATCTTCAGCTTTACTTCAAAATTTGCAATGAGGTTGTGTTTGCGAACTTGAACTTGTGTGATGGCTAATTGTTTTCCACTTATATGACATGAAAAAGTGTATCATTATAGGCTTCTGTAACATTTTCCTGCACTAATGTTGCTGCTATGTTTCTCTGAATGCAGCTGAATAAACCTATCTCAGAAGAAGAGTTGGCTTCAGTTTCTACTGTTCCAGATCGTTGAGAGCAAAGACCTACATGTCGTCCTGGTTGGGTACCCATGCTTTACTCGGACGGACTTTGCTCACCCACGCCCACCCATAGTGACTTTTGGGATGCCGTACCCACCTATACCTACTCACTTTTAATGGTCTTTGAAGGCAGTCTGCCACGGACTGATGACCTTAAGGCTTGTTGTCCTTTGCTCTGATTGCAAACTTTCAAGCCGCATATAAGAATTTACTGTAGTCGCAGCATAGTTAAGTGTTGCACACTACGTAGTGAGGATTGCAGTAATATAAGATATACGGTGATTAGATATATGAATCTATTTATCCCCCTATGTAGAGTACTCACCCCTATGGGTGAGTAATTGGGTGGGTGTGGGTATGGGTGCCCAGGGCTATGGTCGAGAGATAAAAAATTGAAATATCAAAATTTGGAATCTCTAGTTTTCTCCTTGACCTTTTTCTGCTATGATATTCACTTTCAGAACGTTTTTTTTCTTTCCGTTCATCTTGAGTCTTATATGTGGAGAGAATATTACGTGCGGTGTCCGGACCGTCTGGAGGCACCACATCATCCGGATGCACCGGGCTCCAGTAATGTGACGCGTCCGGATTTGCTTCCAATTGAATCTAGATGTTACGAAATAATTTTCCTATATGTGGAGGTTCCTCAATCCCACAGAGATAGATAGGTATGTGTGTTGCTGGACGAGGCCGTTGGATTGCTGCGTTATAGCAGCAGTGTTAAGACCACCGATCGGGGTAGGCAGATGTGGAAGACCAGTAATAAAAGGAGTTATGGAATCAGGCTGATATTCCCAAAAAAAAAAAAGAATCAGGCTGGATTTGTCAGTAAATATAATGAGTGAGATTCGTATCATTTGCATATCTGTGCTAATCTTTATGGGATGTTATAAGAGCAGAATAATATTAAAACAATTTCATTATAATTTATAGTAAGATGAATTTTATTGTCCTCAAATTTATATTAAAATAAGTGCTAAATTTAATATTTATTTGCTGGATTAATCACAGCATAAATTCATGAGCAAAAAAATCGTTCTGACATGATTTGGGGTTTATGTTTCATTTGGAATGACTTTATTATTATTTTTTTTAAAAAAATTATTATTAGAAAGTTGTTTTAAGAAATAGTAAGAAAACAGTTCCAAACAATTTCTTAGTTTCAATCTTTTATTGTTAAATTTTTTTCCATATTTTAAAATGTTTATTATACTGTATTTTAAATTAAATTTGTTAATTAAAAAAATCGTTCTGACATGATTCTTATCAGATTACCTTGATGTAATTCTTTTCTTAATAATATAAAACCAGGTTTAAAATTTGGGGTTTATGTTTCATTTGGAATGGCTTTATTACTATTTTTTTTAAAAAAATTATTATTAGAAAGTTGTTTTAAGAAATAGTAAGAAAATAGTTCCAAACAATTTCTTAGTTTCAATCTTTTATTGTTAAATTTTTTTCCATATTTTAAAATGTTTATTATACTGTATTTTAAATTAAATTTGTTAATTTTGCAAGAATTTTCAACAGGAACATTCCATTACCACTGTTTAAATGTAAAAAAAAGGGGTAAAAAAGAGCTATGGGATTTACACAAAGCAAGGTTAAAATTGCTTTTGATTTTCACCTCTTATTATACAGAAAATATTTGATAATTATCATAAATTTAATTTTATTCAGAATTGAAGATTTTGATTATTCATGTGTATGCATACAGATTAATGTTTGAAATAAAAAGAGTTAAAATATCCTGATTAAAATTTCAATTAACTTGTGTTAAATTTTTTTAATTTATTTTGAGATATAAATAATTTAAAAAATATTTATATAATTAAATTTTGTAGAGAATTATCTTGAAACAAAAAGTTTTATCAATGACTAACATATTTTTTGAAGTGCTGCACCCACCGTGATATTAGATACAGTGTGCTAAATTATTTGATATTAATAAGATTTTCTTTTTCTCAAATAAGGTCGGTGTTATTTATCAAAAGGTTTTCTTATTACAGGGCCAATCGATGCCCGACAAAAACGGACGGTCGAAAGAATCGCGTAGGTGACATTTTCACGCAAGCTCTCAAGCATTTTCCATTTTTTGCAGATACAACCCTCCCAGCTCTATAAAAAGTGCTTAACCAACGCCCACTCTTCTACAACCAAAACTCTTCAGCTATTGCCCGTTCAGCTTTGCTTCCACAACGACGGCCTGTTGCCATGACAAGCCACTACAAAGGAGATAAATCAGACAACCTGATGATACATGACAAGGTATTAATCATCTTGCCTCTGTTATTATCCTCACCCCCGAGGGAAAATTATTATGTGTGAAACCCGAACGTGTTCGGAGACGAATCTGGGCATGCCACATCACCGGGGCCGAATTCATCCGGTAACATGACGTGTCCGGATTCTTTCCCGAATACATTCGGATTCCACACAGAATAATCTCTCTCCCCCCAAGGGGGGGTAAAATATTCATCTTGCCAGCTTAACAAGTTAATTTCCCTATGCTAACATCATTATGATCATTATTAATCTTATTTCAATTATGTGATGTAAGTTTAAGTATTCGGTTGGGATAGCTTTTTTATTGTTTTATGAAATAATTTCTTAGCACATAATTTTTTTGTACTAAAAAGTTATTTCATAAAGCAAAAAGCTGTCTCAAATGAAACGTAAATCTCCTTAAACGTTTTCTTACACATGTTTACTAGGGGAGGAATAGCTTAACCATTAAGCCTCGAGCGCTTGACATCACTTGGGGTGCCGATCATAGATACTGGAAGTTTTCTTCGAGTGATAAGTATGACTCATCATTATTTATGCTCTCAATCCTTATACGGTTTTCTTGCAAATTAAATTATGGCTTCGTTTGGAGCGACTTTTTTCCTGCTTCTTGAACAGCTTTCTAATACAAAAATTTTAATTTTTATACTAAAAAGTTGTTTTCAAGTAGCAATAAAAAGCCGTCCCAAACGAAGCATATATTAGACATTTCGAGTTTCATTATCATTTATAAGGTTGTGAAAATTGGATCAAATATCTAATAGGAAGAAGAAGATGTTTTAAGATTTAATGGTTCAGTTTGATACTTTGATTTGAATCAAGAGTTGATTAAAATAATTTGAATATAATAAATGATATCGTAATGATATAATATTATAAATATATGATTAAAATAAATTGAACTCACGTGCAAATATTATTTCTAATAATTATAAATTTAAATACTTTTGATCTTTAAATTAAGTTTTAGTATAGAGTTATTTTATTTATAAGTTTATAAATTTGATATAAATCATTGCTAATTTATTTTGTATGTTTAAATATATATTTAGGCTTATAGATCATATTAAAAATTTACATTATAAATTTGTACTTATAGATCTTTCATGTCACATCATTTATAATAAATAAATAAATAATTTTATATAATAAAAAATAACTAGATAAAAATAAATATTTTTAACAAAAAATTAAATATTATTCATATTATAAAAAATTAATCAAAAGGTTAAAAATATCTAATGTTTATGCTATGAACTTGAGAATTTTAACTTAATTATTTAGTTCAACTTCACTTGAAAATATTATCTTAATAACATTTAATTATTTATACATATTTTTCATGTAATATTAAAGTTTTATGTATTAGATAAGTAAATAACATAAAATAAAATAATATATATATATATATATATATATATGTAAATCCCCTATTTTTTAAAATTATTAAATATTTTAAGTGATAAATATATAAATAGAATAATTTTGAGTGCCCTGCATGTTGATCCCCAAGCTATCATACTACATAGAATTTACGCATTGTATCTTTACTTTTACAGTTTCAGCCCTGTAGAGCTGCTGCAAGTGAGCTGGTTGCAGGTGAACGGGAAGGCTGAATTGACCTATTTTATTCCAGGAAGGGAGTATTCTGTCAAGTTCAAGGTGGAGCTAAAGCCTGACAACTTCGGCTGGGCTGACCGGCCGGTCTACCTTATGGCGGCAATTGACAGCCGGCGTTCATGGAGGAAGGCCGATCTCGGCACAAAGATTGCCGGAGTAGAATTCGTTGTTCCATTCGGCAACCTTTTGACATTCAAAGTCCCTAATGACACCGATGGCAAGATGGTTGAGTTCGGCATGTATGAAATCTGGAAGGGAACTTGGAAGGGAGGCTTGGTTATCAATGAAGTGGTCATTGAACCAGTATAAAGCTAGCTCATAAGACTCTAACAAGTACTGCAGTGCAAAATGACAATCAGCTAGCCTTCCTTTGTGAGTGTGTGGATCTCATTATCTCAACATTGTGTTTTTCTCTGTCTCTCTGTCGCCTTTCAATTGCATTTTGAACACATGGCGTATGATTTTAATAAATTAATGAATGCTTTGTTTAAGGCTTGGTTTGCTACGGCTATTTTACTGCTTTCTAAAACAACTTTTTAGTACAAAAATTTTTTAAATTAGAATTTTTTTTGTATTAAAATGCTGTTGTAGAAAGCATTCCGAAATCCGCCCCAAACGAAGCCTAAATGCTTTGATATTGTAATAAGTGCTCATTATATGCAATAAATAATGCTTCGATTGAAATAAAGTACAGCTGAGAGTATTTTTTGCCAACGGTTAAATTGGAATTTGTACTGGAAAAAAAAGTTATTAGGATAGTTTGAAAATCATTAAATATGCTTTGAAATTTGTGTTCAGTATTCACTAATCTCAAATCAAATCCAATAATTTCTTAAATTATAAGATGCAATCTGCACATTTGTGCTGCACTCGCTGCATCTCTGTAGTGCAGAATTTATGCTAGTTCTTTTTCTGCTCGGAAATGCTCTGATCTGTTCATCTTTAGAATATTAGAATGACTTTTTTATGAAATCATGTGGTGTCTATCTTCAGAACAAGCAAAGAATACTTATCATCTAAATGAGACAGAATATTTCTTATGGAGTAAAAGAACCGAATATGATTCTCTTCACTTGGTGGCCGCTAAGGAATTCCAAAAAAAAAAGCTGATGATTCAAAGGATGCTTGATGTTAACAAGAATTCTTCGAGTGAATGGCATATATTCTTTCTTTTTTAAAGGTAGCTTTTGATTATATTCTTGGCCTTATATATAAGAGATTGAACTGCATGTGGCATGCTTGGATGTAAAGTTTATGGTTTTCCTCACTGCTGAGTTATTCTTATCTATAATTTTAATTTGATGCAGAAGTTGGACAAATGCTTAAGAATACTTAGTAGGGAGGTGCGAGTTGAGCATATATATTGATTGATGAAAATCCATTAATTCAAAATGTAAGCTAATGATTATGGAACATTATTAATGTATTAAGAATGTAACCCTTATCTTTATAATTTTAATATGGGGCTATTTTTTGCTATTTTCGTGATAATTTTCTTCTCTAATGAGGATTTCCTAAACGGTTATCATTAGGGCTGCAAACGAACCGAACCGAGCCGAATATGTGAGTGGTCATATTTGAGCTCGTTTATTATCAGCTTGTTCATGTTCGGTTCGTGTTTGATTCGAGCTTTATTGTTTGTGTTCAAATTTGGTTCGTTTAAATTAATGAGTGTTAATGTTTGATTCATGTTAGGTTCATGTTTGATTCGTTTAGTATTTATCAAGCTTTAAGCAAATAAGCCTTAATGAGTTATATACGAGCTCTACTTCTAAATGTTCATTAACTTAACAAACGAGCTTTATACGAGTAAATTCATGAACATATATAACAAGTTTTTTCGAGCTACCAAATGAGATTTTATCGAGCTTATTCACGAGTTATGAATCGAACATGAATTGAGCTTCTTATCGAGCTTAATGTCAAGCTTGTTCACGAGCTTCAAATGATGTTGTTGATCAACATAAATGAGTCGAGCACATGAGTGTTCAAGCTTGTTTATTTAAGAATCGAGTATTCAACCAAGATCTTGTGTGAGAGTCATCCGCTCATAAACGGTGCTTGATTGTGATAAAATTTGTTCCAGCTGCAAAGTTTAAGGCAAAAATAAAGATAACTTCTAAATGAATAGAGCCCAATAAATATCTTTCATATAGAGTTCATCTATCCTAGATTCGAGTCAATCATACAAGGATTCAATAGACCCTACTTGAATATTTTGAGTTCATTCTCCCATAAGGAGTCGACACATCTTCAGTTTGAAATTCCGAGTTATTACATCCTCTGATAAGTAAATCAATCCATCTTAAAATTCTTAAGATGATCAAGCAAAGCCTACAAGCCTAAAAAGCTTGGCTTAAGCTCCTATATAACAACTAAGCAAAGCCTACGTGCCATAGAATTTTTTATCATATTCATGCCAACAGACCAGAATAATAAAGTTCTTGAATAATACAAGAGTAATCACAATGAACAATAACAAGGTAACGTGTATCTCTGGGATGGTGGTCAATTTGACGGCATTAATTGTTGTGCAATAAACACAGCAAAAATAAAATCACACAACAAAACAGTTCAAAGGACAGGGCGATCTACGTGGTTTGGCGAAGATGCCTATGTTCATGATGAGGGAATGATGATTTCACTATAATGAAGAAACAAATATGGATTACAATTGCTATCAATTCATAGATTTAAGTAAAACAAAATTAAGGAAAAAGCTTTCTAATCTAATCATCAATCAAATCCCAAACAAATCAATTAATTAAGGAAATAATTCATTCCCTAATAAATTACAATAACGAGCCACTAAAACTTTTCAAATAAAAGCTTATTTCGATTTGAAAATAATTTCATATGAACAAACTCCACATCATCTTTCAATTCAAAAAGTGGAAGATGATAAACTAGGCTCTAATATTAGAACAACTGTATCCAGATGATTGCCTATATACCCGGCCCCTCATGAGGGATCAAGCCGAGCGTAGTTCTTTAAACATGTGGACAATCAGTCATGTGTCCTGCATCACTACTGTGGTGACTACATCTCCAAGCTTGCATTAATTGTACCCTTAGATACCTCATAATACTATTTACAACTTGCCAATGACTCTTTCCTATATATAATATGAACCTGCTCATAAAGCCATATGCTTGTGCAATTTATCGATCAAGTTGCTTTAAAATCAAGCCATATTGTGCTACAAGTGTCAAGTAATCACAAGTCAAGTGATTCTTAACCACTGGGGAGAACACCTCATCATAAGCAATATATTCCTGTTATGCAGAGCCTTTTTCCACCACCCTAACCTTGTACTATACATCAACTCTATGATATCCTTCCTTTTTTACTCGTATCTATTTGCACTCAATGGCTTTTCTTACTAGAGGAAGCTTTACGAACCTCTAGTAGCTAAAAAACTTATTCACCTTCTTCAACATCGTTCCTTCCTGTCAGTTTGGAAGTCACGACAGGTTGCCTTTCTTCTAATGGATCAGAAGTAACAACGACAACGGAGGGAGAGAGCTCGTTATGAAGATAGCCATTTTCGCCCTTTATCGTGCTTCTTCGCCCAAATCCCGTAAATCATCAATAATTTATAATCATCTAAGTCCTTATTGTGAATACTTATTGTTTAATTAAAATAATACTAAAAACTAGAAATATATAAAATATTGCTTCAATAATTTATAAACAACTAAGTCATTTTAAATAATGTTATATTATTATAGAAAAAACTTGCTTTAAAACTTTCGGTCTAAATAAATAAAAATTTAGGCATAATCTAATCAGTATTTGATATCTAATTATACTAATAAGTATCAAATTAATTAGTTATTTTTTTAAAAATAATTAATTGTTTAAATAATACTCTTACTAATAATTTAATTAATTTTAAAGTATTATTTAATTAGTTTTAATTATTCATTATATTTTTAATTATATCATTAATCATTTAAATATTTTAATACTAATTAATTATTTAATTATTATTTATAACAATATATAGAAATTATTCTATTTGAAATTATATTTAATCTTACTTATTAGGGATTTTTACATACATAACACTTGAAACTATCCTAAATACATATTCAACATTCAAAGTATTGTATTTACTGATATACCACATATTCAACACAATCTTTTTTTCAATTCTACCACTCCGTTAAGGCCCTTCAGAAATCCCGTCGAGTCGTCGTCGCCCATTCTCCGTCTTCCACATCAAATCCTTCTCCACCAACAATCGTCGCCATCCTTGTCCCTCACCGTCGGCAAGATGATTGGGTATTCTCCACCGTTGCCGGCCAATTCCAGCTCTTTTTTTTCGTCTCATAAACTTACCTTCTCCCGCCGACGAGCATTTAATATGCTTGGAGCTCCAGAAATCTTCCTTCCAATGAGCTCACATCAGTGCTCCAGGAGCCGCAGTCCTCTGAGAGAAGAGCTTTGTTGTTTTTTCTTGCATGCCTCTCAAAATGAGGATCTTTTCTAAGTTTACTAAGGTTTAAGCAACCCACCTTACTTTTTTTTTTCTGATTGAGTTTGATTTATGGTGATTTAGTGTATTAGCTTGTATCCCTGAACGAAGATTGTGGTCTCCTGGGGTTGCACTACCGCGCATTTTCTTATTGCTCCAGTTTTATGTTGTTTTACTGATTGTTTTCTGCATTACCTCTTTGATTTGTGATGTCCTTTGAGGATCTTGTGGGGTTTTGGCATTAAGATTATGAGGAAGGTGATCAAGATGGTGTTTTGGAGGAAGAAGATGATGATGACGATGATGTTATCATGAATGAGGTGATTGTGCATCACTTGAAGCGAAAGAATGTATAATTTGAGCTGCAGATTTTAGAAGAATCAGAGAAGGGGGACCTTGCAACCGAGAGAGCATAAGCATAAGCAATGGAGCAGGCTCCGCTCGCAACCTTGCAGGCGAACACGGATTTTTGACGAGGGTTAGCTAGCTCCAGATTGCCGGAGACATCTCCATGACCGCCGTTGCTCTTGTTCTACTGGCCAACCCCATCTTGTGCGAACGAAAGTAAAATGAGGCGAGACGAGATTTTTGACGGGGGTTTAACGGAGTGGTATAATTTAGGAAAAAGATATTTTAAGTGGTATATTAGTAAATATAATAGTTTGAGTGTTGAATATGTATTAATGATAGTTTCAAGTGTTATGCATGTAAAAATCCCTACTTATTATTTTGAAATAACTAATTACTAAACTAATAATATATTAACTACTTCAGAATTATTTAGTTAGTTATAATTATAAATTATATTATTAACTATCTCATTAATCACTTAAGAATTCTACTACTAATTAATTATTATTTACACAATTAATTATATATTTAATCCTTTATCTTTTAAATTATGTTGATTATATTAATATTTAATTACTAATTATTGAATTAAGTTTAATTATATAATTAATTTATGCAATAATTATACTATTAACTATTTAATTAATTTTTTTGGGAAAAAATATATTTTTAAATATGTTAAATTATATTAATTAAGTTAATCAGCAATAGCTTTGAGGCGTCTAGGGTTTGCCTTTCATCTTCTCTTTTCGTGGTTGCTGTTCAGCTTGGTCGCTTCGCAGAAGGTGTAGACATTGCACGAGTTGCTTCTTCGGCTCCTTCATTGCTGCTTCGCTCCTTCGACGACTTTCCCTTCCCGTCGGATCGGAAGCTACGACATTTTGATCGGAAGCAACGACGGGAGCTCGCTGGCTGTGAAGGTAAGTTTCTCCCTTTCGTGCGCTTCTTCGGTCAAATCCCGTAAAGCCGCCGAACTAGAGGATTTAGTAAATCCGGGATTTACGGTAAAAAGAGGGAAACGGAGGATATATTCCGCCGTGAGATTTACGGGGCGCTCAAATCTCGTCTGGCAGTATAAATCCTGCATAAATCCTGTTGCCAAACAGCTCCTAAATCTTCTCAACATAGCAATGCTAATAATCATTTCTGACAACAATAGCATCGAGCCTTTGTCCCACTGCATGGGGAAATGTTAAAAATCTATGAGAACATTATTTTTCTTGAAGGATGCTTAAGTGAAGGAGCCTCCATCAAATTTTCTTGGTGAAATATTGAGATAATCTTTTTTTCTAGGTTTGTTAGTGCAGGACGTCCTAGAGTTTAGTGCTTCTAGTGCCAATATAACATGCTAAGTGGAAAAATATGCAACAATATGCAAAACTCGCGAGACTTACTGGCTGTTTGGTAGCATCCCGATTTAAGTAGGATTTTGTAAATCCTTTAAATCAAGATTTCGGAAATCCTGAGGGACTAAAATCCTGAAAATTATTTGGTAACATTCATGATAAATCCTCTTAAATCTCATATGACTGCTTGGCTATAGAGAAGGATTTATCGAGCGGACTCTTCCTCTAGCGCCATGGATTTCATAAATCCAGCAAAATACAGAATTTTGAAAATCCGAGATTTAGAGCAAATCGGCGGACTTTTCCATCTACAGCGGATTATGTTTGCCATGAGATTTGGTTTTGCATTTTAGGCCGTTTGGCTGGATTTCACTCAAATTCGCCTCAAATCCGGCCTAAATACTGCTACCAAACAACCCCTTGAGCTATTAATCCAGAACTACTGTTACTATATTTTAAAGATTGAAAAAAATGATAATCCACACCCATGATTGAAATTTATGCAATCAATATAAATTCAAATTGTTATAAATTTGACTAAATTGAATCTCTCTCCAACAAATCAATAAACTTAGGGTGGGTCCATGCATGTGTAAAAATTAGTTTGGAAGGGAAATTTTGAATGGAAAGGGCTGTTTTGGTATTTTGTATGTCTTCTTTATGGTTAATTAGGTGCTTAGGAGGGAATTAGGGATTATATTGAATTTGAATGATAATTTGAGATCTAGGATTTCTTGCTTTGGGCTCTTGGCATTGCCGGAAATTTGGAGAGATGTTCTTCCTCTCGAATCGAAGAACAATTGTATCTTTGCTATTTTACTTCATCGTCTAGTGGAATACAAGTCTCTACTTGAGTTTTCTCTCAGTTTTTCTTGTGAATTTGCTGTTTTCCTGCTGTGGATAGCAGTTTTGCTGTTATTTTCTTATGGATTTGGGTTAGGATTGCTTGCGAACTCAATTATTACCTTAGGGTTACTTGCGAACTTAACTCAAGTGTTTCCTATCATATTTCAAGTAAATACTTGACAAAGGATCAAATTATCAAAATAAATAGAAAAGATGTTCACATCTATAGCAACAATCTTATTCATGAATAATTGTCTTATATGATTTAAAATTTTCGTATTTATAGACTAAAAATTTGCTAAAGAAGTTTGAATTAATTGTTAATAAACTTAATTACATAAGCTAAAATAATCCCGAACAAAATTATGAAATATAAATGAATTAAAATAACTCAAATATCCATGAACAAAATGAAATTAAAAAATTATTTCAACATCAATTCGGCCCAGCTTGGAAACATTTGTTCTGGCAAATTATTTAGTTGATAATCTTCCAATCGATACAGGCATATTTGTTGGATTTTATGTAGAAATATTCATGAATCATCTTTTTAGGTTAATGTTTCCATTTTATATGTTATCTTTGATATTCACCATTAGTTATTGATAAAATTTCATTGCCAACATCTTCAGTAGAAATTAGAAGAATGAGGTGGAAAAAAAGAATAATGAAAAGTTTTTTGTTGGTGATTCATTGTATAAAATTAAGCCAACTAGTATGCTTTCATCCTTTCTATATAATTTTATATGATTCCATTTTTTCTAATTATTATTCTCTAAAGGGTTCTTAGTGGATAGCTTTCAAGATTTAGAGAGGAAAAAATTCTAGTCAACATCTAGAACAGGCTTATAATTGTTATAGTTATAACAAGGTTTCAAAGAATATCTTCATGCAAATAATGTGTGATGCAATAGGGTATGATGCATTTAGATTAGTGATAAAGGATTCATATGCTTGGTAATGGTTTTACAATAGGGCTTGCATATTATATAGAAGAACAACCACTTTAAATAGAAGCAATCAAACTGGTTTAAAAATTAATTATGATAATTATGTACTTTTGATTGAACCATATCGATGAGCTTTGAATTTCTAAATTTATCAAGTGCATTTATCATTTATAAGTCCATTACTATGTTATTGTAATTTGATATTTTTTGATAAATGATAAGTTTATTTTTATAACTTTGTAAATTAAGAAACCAAGTATCAAAAGTAAATTCAATATCATTTTGTTTATTACTCTTAAATAAGATCATCAAATAATTCATTAGGATTTAGGTCATATCTTTCAATTATTTATAAACAATCATATTTTTTTACTTTTATAATCATGAATAGAATAAAATTTTAAATTGAATTTTAAATTCAAGTATTGACTCCTCTCTTATAGGTTTAGTTTTATGAGTGAGTTATGGTGCAGACGCTAATGTATATTCTGGTTTAAGTTATGGTGCAAACATTAGCTTAGTTGTAGAAGAAAAATTAGATTTTGGGTCATTAAAGGAGAAGCATAATATTACGTTAAGTGTTGCAGAGATGAGGATGCTCAGGTGGATGAATGGCTTTACTCTTAGAGACAGTATACGAAATTAGCATATACGTGAAAAGGTTGGAGTAGCTCCAGTGATAGATAAGATTAGAGAGAGTTGTCTTAGATGGTTTGGTCTCACAAAACAGTAGCCTTCTGATGACCTGGTTAGGAGAGTAGATATATGAGATTTAACCTATGTTAAGAAAGATAGAATTATACCTAAAAAAACTTAGTTAGAAAATATTAGAAATGACCTTTCTTTATTAGATCTAAATGATAAATTGACTCTTAACCAAACACAATGTAGAAAAAGGATTCATGTAGCCGATCCCACGTAGCGGGATAAGATCTTGATGTTATTGTTTTTGTTTTTGTTTTTGTTTTTGTTGTATCCATTTGTATTTAGAGCAGCTCTTGCTGTGTGTGTTAGCATCTTTTTAGTTTTAACTGAATTGCCACTCTGTTTAACATGTCTTTCCTCTTTTAAGATGTCAGTGGAGGCCAAATTCTTTCGTTTTCTTAAGATTGTCGGTGTTGGGTTCAAAGCTAGGACAGAATCAGAGGGTCGCCAACTCTTCTTGAGACTGGGTTACAGTCATGAGGTGGAGTTCGATGTTCCACCTGCTGTTCGTGCCTTTTGTTTTAAGCCGAACATAATTTGCTGCACAGGAATAGACAAGCAGCGGGTGCACCAGTTTGCTGCAGCTGTTCGTAGCTGTAAGCCACCTGAAGTTTACAAAGGCAAGGGCATAATGTACATTGATGAAGTTGTAAAAAAGAAGCAAGGGAAGAAATCCAAGTAAAGAGTTTTTGGCAAGGAAGAAAGATTAACATATGAAAATCTTAGTTTATATAAAGTTGTTTCCTTGATTAGCTCTTTCAAATTAACTTTATAGCGATGCCTCCCCACTTGGTGTGTACTTATTTCCAAATCCAACAATGTAACAGCTCTCTTGAACAACTATTAATTGATTTCTTCAACGTATCCCAGAAAAGAGGTGTATGTCATTCTTATAAATTCTGGTTCAATTCAAAGCCCTACATGGAGTCATGGTTGGGTACCCATGGTTTACTCAGACGGGCTTCGCCCACCCACGCTCACCCATGGTGACTTTCGGGATGTCATACCCACCCACTTTTCATGCTTTTTGAACACAGTCTGATGGCCTTGAAGCTTATTACCATTTGCTCTGATTGCAAACTTTCAAGACGCATATCAGAATTTATCATAGTCGCAACGTGGTTAAGTGCCTCACATTATGTAGTGAGGATTGCAGTAATATAAGATATACAGTGATTAGCAATGTAAATCGATTTATCACGCAATGTTGGATATCCACTCATACCCATCCACAAGGCCACAGGTGTACCCATACCCACCCATGAGTATGGGTGGGTACATGAAGGGGTGTGGGTATGGATACCCAATGCAGGGCTGTGTGATTCAATTATTCTGAGAAAAATTTACGTAGCACAGCATACAACTGATCAGACACTTTGTTATATGTTTAATGGAGAGGTTTGGTTCTGTGAATACATATTCTCTTACTAAGTAGAAATGCTCATCCAAGCTTCAGGTTATGGAAGCTTGATTTACTGCTTGAATTTGATGTTTACCATTGCAGAGCAGGAATATCAAAATGTTTATCGATTGCCAAATACTAGAACAGGTACTCAGTAGCTGCATGTTAATAACCCTATAGTGATGCGGTGCATCTTAAATATAATGTCTCAGGAGAAATATACCTATTTTGTACCTATTTTCTAGAATTTTCTATTGATATATTATATCTAGAACAGTTGTAGGAGAAATATATTATATGAAATATTTTTGGAATTACAGTTTCTAGTTTATATTGTTCTTTGCTCTCTTAAGCTGTTTGCATCTCCTTCTTCAATGATTTCCACTGCATCATATATGCTCTCTCTTATTCCATCCCGAAGAGAATACATTCTTTTGTATTCATTTTATTTATGTTTAATTTTCAAAAAATACTTTAGTTGATGTTTTCATAAAAAAATACAGGATAAGACAAGTGCCTTGTATTCTTTAGTATTCATGTTCCAGGCTCGATCCTCAGCAGTGACTCCTCATGCTTTTTAAATAAGTTGTTGTGGTTTGTGGGCCTTTATTGCTTGAGTGCTACGGGCTTTTATTGGCTAATGGGGCGATGTGCCCGTAGGGCCCCTACTATAGATCGGCCAGTGGTGGTATATCTTTTTTTTGGAACGGGAGTATCTATCTGGTGCCACTCCAAAGAGAGCGTTTGGCGACATAACTAATCCCTCGGCGGAACCTAGCGAAGCCACCCACTGGCATTGGATCTACACTTGTTTTGTCCTACTGAAGAGACGAGGCCTTACTATAGGGGATTTAAATCCATGATGGAGGGTTCTCAACCATGATCGGCCACCAACCACCCTAAGCCTCGGTGGGTGTAGTGGTATATCTTCTAAGGTAGAATGAAAAGTATTTGATGTAAAATTGAGATATCTTCGTTGGAAGTCTAAGCTACTAACCAATAGGTTAAGATGCGCTGCATATCTCCAACCTAACTTCTCATCAAGCCTTTCAACCCAACTTCTTCTAGTAATTAAACGTTTACTTATAAGATATTTTACCAAGCTATATATTTTGGGGTTTTTTTGGTTAATCGAACTATGGTCTGCAACGTTACTAAAACGTTCTGGTTTAAATTATTAACATCATTAAATAAAAAAAATTTATAAAATTTAAGTCATTGTTAGGGTCATTCAACAAAGGGACATAAAAAATAAACTAATAAAGAAAGCAAAACCAAATTGTTAATAATCACACCTACCTGAAAATTATGAAATATCAACTTTGAGGCCTACCTCATTTGTTTTCTTGGTTGGCAAATCAGCAGGAAAAATTATTACGTGCGGTGTTCGGACGCATCCGAAGGTTAATTTGGATGCATCATGTCACCTAATGCACAGTGCATTGAATCATGTGGTGCGTCTGAATTGACCTCTAGATACATTCAGACACTACACAAAAAAATCTCACAATCGGCAAGCCTGCGAAAGATAAAGAGTAATTGAAAAAGTGATAATGGGATCCTGCAAGGAAAATGTATTGAGGGGACCGGTGGTGGCGACTGAAAGATGAAGGATATGTTTGGAATGATTATAATATTTTATAAAGATGATTGTAAAGTTTTATGGATAAAGTAATTTTTTTAAAGCTATCATTAGATAATAGTTTATTAATACAAATGTTTTTTGAAATAAGTGAAAAAAATAATTGTCAAATAGAAATTATAATTTTAATTTCAAAAGCAAAGCAGTAAGAAATCTGTACCAAAAGAAGTCAAAGAAGAGTTTGATGACGAAGAGGATTAGTAAGGTGATATTTCTTATGTTATTCAAATAATTAAGAGATATGTAAGACGCAAGTGTTAAGATTCTAATTATATAAATTTGATATTTTCCAAAACAAAAATTATCACAAGAAAGTCTAAGTATAGAAGGGCTTTTCCACAATGAAGAAGAACTATGATTGCAGACCGCACCTCAACTCTTAAATGCAGTAAATCAGAGTAAGGATTTGCTTTGGATAAAAAAAAAAAGAAAAAAGATTTACTTTGGATTGCTGTTGTTTTTTATAAAGGTGATTGTAAAATTGTTGCGGAGAAATTAATTTTTTTTTTAAGTTTTTGTAAAAAATAGCTTCGTAACATAAAAATTTCTTGAAAGTTGTGGCCAATCATAAATTATCTTATAAAATAAGAAGTGAAGTCTTACAACTTAATGATGAAATATCTTACTATTTTTTGACGTCCATTTCTGACTTGTCTAACTCTGATTTTCTTCTAACATTTTGTTCTTCGGCAATTAAAGAACACGTCTCCGAAGGCAACCGGAAAGTCTCCCTTGCCACCATTTTTGACCGTTTAGTCTTCCTGATGTCAGCTAGCAAACTATTCCTCAACTAGGACTTTTATCTTCTTTACTCTGAACTCCTTCAATACCACGGCAAAGAAAAGGAAGTCTCCCAACAAGCAAAGGATTCATCAGATAGAGCTATAAATATTCAAGCAAATAAGAGCTTTGTACTCAGTTCAATATCGTATATAGCACTTTCTCCTTCCTCTCTCATTAGTTACAAGTTCTCGCTCCATCTTCTCCTTTGTCATCATTCAGCAAACATGGCTTCTTACGCGCAGGCTAATCCTCAAGGTAGTTCATTTGGTTTGATACTTGTCATGTGAATTTCTTAATTTAAGTCTCCTTTTTCTCGTCTTCTATAAGAGAGAATGGTAGGAATGATCATTATTTAAGTGATTTATTAAGAAGAAAAATATTGATCGAGATTTGTTTGCTCCCCTATTGTCTTATAAATCATCTCTATTAGACTGACTTGTATCTATTCAACAATAACAACATTAAGCATTTGTCCCACTACATGGGGTTGGCTACATGAATCTTTTTTCTCCATTGTGTCATGTTAAAAGTCAAATTCTCATTTAAATCTAATAAAGAAATATCATGTTTAATATTTTTTAACCAGATCCTTTTAGGTCTACTTCTACCTTTCTTAACATAAGTCAAATCTAATATCTCTACTTTCCTAATCGGGTCATCGGAAGGATGCCGTTTTATGTGACCAAACCATCTAAGACGACTCTCTCTAATCATATCTTCCATTGGAGCTACTCCAACCTTTTCACGTATATGCTCATTTCGTATCCTATCTCAAAGGATAAAGCCACTTATCCACCTGAGCATCCTCATCTCTACAACACTTCATTTAGTATTATGCTTCTCTTTTAATGGCCAACATTCTAGCAATTTAGGTGGTGGGAGTGAACAAAGATTAGTTTCTCTCTTTTATGACTTAAAAGAACACATATTTAAATTACGGAAATAATTCTTTTTAATGTAATTCTATCCTCTTCATTTATCTTATATGTAGTAAGTTTGTCCGTTTTACATTATTACAATATTTCCAATGACAAAAAAATTGATTTCTTTTGCTTCCTGCTACAATTTGGAATGATGCAGCTTACTCTGCACCGCCAACCTCTTTCCCTCCACAAGGACAGTTGCCCTATTCCGCACCTCCTCCAGTAGGGTACCCTACAAATGACACTGCTGCTTACCCTCAGCAGGTTCCAACCAAGACCAAGAGTCGCGGCGATGATGATGATGGTTTCTGGAAAGGATGGTAAGCATATTAAGATTTTGTTGGCCATTAATAGCCCTTTCAAGCCTACTATAAAGCTTGAAGACTTGTAAAAAAAACTTTATTCTAACTTGTAACTGCTGTGTTTTGTGCTTGTAGTTGTGCGGCACTGTGTTGCTGCTGTGTGTTGGAGACCTGTTTCTAAGAGTGAAGCAAACCAGTGAAATTGTTTGAATTATGATTGAGAACTATATGTTAGTTCACTTCTGATGTATTTTAAGTTATCATTTTATATCCCTTTGATTTATATCTCTGTTTTCATTCATGAAAATATTAAGTTCTATCCTTTCCCTCCTTTAAGAGGTTATTGTTTATGTTACTATAAGACCGGCTTAATATGATCATTTAAATCAGTCTCATCTTATGTGAACTTTAAGATTGAAGAGAATGTGATTAATGGAAAATTATGATGAGTGGCAATAAGAATTGTAGAGCTTTGTGTAATAGTCCAAATTTTCAACCATTGAGTTATTATTGTTTTAGCTTAATGACCTCATTGTTTAATCCTATTGATGTTACTTCTCAATAGGTCGCCTATGCCCTATCTCAGGAGCATGCTTGATTTTAAAGTTTCTAATGAAACTTCAACTGTTAAAGCAAAATGAGCATCGATGTTTAAGAGTTCAGTTTTATTTTCTTAAAGAGTATAGTAGGCGGACATATGAGTTATTAAGTAATTTTAGCTGAATATATTTTGCACAATTTCTACTTAATAAAATAATTCTTATAAGCAGTAATCTCCAAAGGAATTACACCGACTTTCTAAGGCTTCGTTTGGTTACCCGATGCCTTTTCGAAAAGGTAGTTTTCAAAACTTTGATTGAGCGAATGGAGTATTGTAACAGAGAAGCTAATGTTAAAAGCTTATGTGAAAGCTTTTGAAAACTGTACAAAAATACAATTCCGTGACTCGAAAACACCTTTACCATTTCGAAACAGAAACGGCAAGGAGGCCTAGAATTGCTCGCATAACAAAAGATTTAAGTTCATATTGGCTTATAGGATAGGAGCTTTTGCTACCAACTGGGACGACTTTCTTATTGCTTCTTGAAGCAACTTTTTAGTAATAAAAAATTAAATTTTTATAGTAAAAAGCTAATTTAAGTAAAATTTTGTATTGTATAGCTGTTTTAAGCAGTAAAAAAGATGTCCCAAATGAAATCTAAGAGATATTGGATTCGAGTGCACATATGTGATGTGTATGAATTTTCCTCAATTGACCTAAATGTCTCAAAAAAAAAATAAAAAATAAATTCAATGCCTAAATTAAAAAAAATCTAAATTAGGTTTATTTCGCTGCAGAGTGAAAGTTATGCAACAATGCCCAAATTATTATTATTTTTATTTTCCTCAACATTTTTCATCCGAATTTCGGATCATTATTAACAATTGAAAAAAAAAATGTCAAATTCATTATTCTAAAAAGATGACTTTACATGATAATAATACCTAATGATTTTTATGATTTGGTTGGCCCTCCATAACTTCCCCACCTGTTCTATAAGCCTTGGCATCCTTATCTCAATTAATTGTCTAATAACCTCCCCACATACCAGCTTTTTCATGCCTTAGTTATTTTGTTCAATAAAATAATTTTTGTGATAAGGAGTTTTGAAAAATAAAAATTATGTAAAATAAAATACTCAAAGATGATATAAATAGTCAACTTCCAATAATTCATATATAGTGAAAGGATGTGTCTTTCAATAATTTGAGAATTTTTTATTACAATTTTAAAAATTATAATTTTAAGTAATATATTTTATAATTTATTGTCCATAAGTCTAATGATAATGATAAATAATCCAACTCATTACTTATAAATTTTATTCATAATTTGATTATTTTACTTTTTTGAGTTAATTAAAATTATGTCATTTGTTTTCTAAAATTATATTTATTTTTCAATTAAGGTTAAAATATAATATAATAACTATAAATTAAAGTGGCACATATAATTGTAAATATAAATTCGAAATAAAATGTATAATATAATAAATAATAATAGGAAATCCAATATAATTTCAAAAAAAAAAGAAAAAAAGAAAACTAAATGCAATTAATATTTACTATCCTTATTATTAAATTTTCATGCTTGCCTTTAAGTTTTCTAGCCTTTTATATAATATTAAAGGTTTTATCTTTTATGCCTGCCAAAAGAGAATGAATTTATTTGCATTTATGCCATTCTCTGTCCATCATGCAATAAAATTAGTTTTTTCCATCTTAAGAAAAATGCAAATAAAATAAATTAATTTTTTTTATTACTGATCAAAAGCATGGAAATAAAATCTCAAAAAAAACCAAATATTAGCAGAACAATAATTTTAGCAGTAATGAATGACAAGTCAACCCTCCTCATTTCACACAAAATAATAATTTTATATATTAGTACGTTACATTATTGATTGAGAGTTGGTATTTAAGTGAGTCAATCAGACTCATAAGCTCGTTTGAGCTTGGCTCGTGATGAGCCGAGCTCAAATCAAGCTCAAACGAGCTAACGAGTCAGCTTTGACTTGACTCATTAGTTCACGAGCCAGCTCGTGATCATGACCCATCTTGAACTCGTAGAATTATACTCATGTTCAAGCTTGAACTCGATTAAATAATCAAGCTCGAGCACAAGCTTGAGGTGACTCAATCTCGACTCGACTCGACTCGTTTACGCTCATAATTGAGAGAGCCAATTATGTTAGCATGTCCATTACTATTTTTTTCTAAATAAGATCATAATAAAAATCATAAAATTATAGAATATATAATAGATGTACTCAGTTGAGGTGGATTCTGGACCCAAAACTGCAATTAATGGACTAAATATAACAACAAAGACATCAATCAAATTGATTCGCACCACCATGCAAGGACCACAGTGGATTGATTCCACAACTCATTATCATTTTTTATTTTTATTTTTATTTATTTAAATAGTGCTATAGAAGCCTCAAAGCAAGATTATTAGGTGCAGAGTGCAGACGGGGAGAATCATCTGCACACTAGTATAAAATTCAGCTAGGTATCGTACGGTATCGCTGGGTACCACTAGGTACCGGTTGGTACCCTATGTCTGTGCAGACGGTGCTCTCCCCGTCTGCACTCCGCACCTAATAATTATTCCTCTAAAAGAGTTGAACCTATCTCGTTGATTCACCACATAAAAACTAAGGGATAGCTTCCTATTTGTAATAAACCTCCCACCTCAAAACAAAATGTTCATGAAGCCAATATTCCTGCCTTTTTTTTCCCCTTAATATATAGAAAGGATTTGAGCCTTTATTATTATTATTTTTTAATTTCACTTAAGTTTTAAATCATTTGCTATCATTTCATAACTTTTATTTTTTTTCAAAATAGGAGAGGACTCTAAAGTGTGAAAAGAATCTTCTAAGGTTCATATAGGGTTTGTTTGGGACAAAAATTTCACTGTTTTTTTTTTTAAGTAGCATCAACATCTTGATTTCTAGTAAAATTTACATTGTATGACATGATTGCTTAATCAAGAGAATCAAATTTACTCGCAAATGAGAGCTAAACGCATGAGGCTATGGACCATGATCCCATGATCAAACAATCATGACACACTTGCTTAATAAGTGCTATAAATATTAGTTGACAATTTTTTCCAATAGACATAATATTCACATATCTCAATTATATTTGCCCTTAGCTAACAAGCTTATTTAAATAATAGAGATGATTGTTTCTACTAAGAAAGAGGGCTCAACAAATATTTTGAAGGTGAAAGAAACATTTCTTCATAGGGATATAAATGCACCCTTAACCACAGATAGAGATATCACAATCTTAAATCAAACTTCCTGAAGCACCTAAAATGCGCTAAGAAACTTAAATTTGTTTAAGTAGGTACCAATTCATTTATTCTTCTAACTCTCTCTCTCTCTCTCTCTACTATGCCTTTTCTACTAATAAATTCTTCCCCTTTTTTTCAAAGAAAACGATGAGCTAAAAATCTCAAAATAAGTAACTCGAATTCATGAACTTGAAGAAATAACATTCTCACTATGTCACGTATCCTATCATAATTCTCCTCCTTTATGAACTAAACCTTACTTTGATTTAAATCTAGATTAATCTCATGATGATAAATATTTGATCTTAGACTTATTTTTTATATAAAGAATTAAAGAAAACCGCTAATTAAACATTCTCACTATGTCACGTATCCTATCATAATTCTCCTCCTTTATGAACTAAACCTTACTTTGATTTAAATCTAGATTAATCTCATGATGATAAATATTTGATCTTAGACTTATTTTTTATATAAAGAATTAAAGAAAACCGCTAATTAACAATTAATTATAACAAAAACATTAAAGGAAACAAAAAAGAAAGCTAATGAGGTTATTTAAATAAAAAAAATTGAGAGAGCTACCATCCAAAAAAGCATGCATGTGATTCCACCTACTAATTAATGAATTGATAAGCCAATGTGTGGTCCTCCCTTTGGAATTTGCCCGTTGTTGCCAATGGTAGCCAGCCTTCCTATTCCCAACAAATAAGGCAACCCACAAAGCTAAAGACAAGCCCATCTCCCCCTTTGTCTCCTATATGGGCCAATCCATCACTGTACACCAAATTAAAGCCCCCTTAATAAGTTAATATTGTTTCTCCTAAGTTTTTTTTTTTTTTTTAAATTAGAATTAATCTTATTATAACAATAATTTGTTTTTTTTTACTCAATTATTTTATATAAAATTTAAAAAATAGTTTTTAAAATATTAATTTTAAAATAAAAATTATTAATATTTGTATGGCAGAGAATTTGATGAATTTTTTAAACCTATTTATTTAGAGTTGTTTTTGATAATTTTGCTGCTAATTGATTTGATATGTCATCAAAAAACTAGTTTGATTGGAACGAATCTTAATGAAAAATCAGCTTGGACTTCCAAAATTATATTGGGACCATCAGAACTCTGATTTCAAAAATATTATATAGTCCTGACGGAGCGTCCAGAATAACCTGAACGACTTACCAAAAATCCCCAGATCCGAGGCCACACCTGGTCACAATATCCTAAAGGACTTTATGAAGCTCTGTTTCACAGGGAAGGTTCAAATCACAATTTGTATTACAAAAGGTTTTCCACAAATAACATGCTTTATAGTCGATCGGCGGCTCAACGAGACGAATCCAACGAGCCCAAGATCAACCAAATCTGACATAACCAGAATTCAAATGTCCATCAACGGTCCATGAATAACATATTAACATCGGCCCATCCAACCACTACCATTATACACCTTTACATTCACCATATTTAACGGGCATGCACTTCCAAAATCTATAAATAGACCTCATTTCTCTTGAAAGAGATCCAAGCAAGAGAGAAAGAGAGAATCAGAAAAATAAAGGAAGATCTCCTCGACACCGCCCTGAGTTTCGTCGGACCACACTGATGTCGTTGGCTGCGCCG